TATGCATTTGTAACAGTTTAAACATGTTGAAAACAGACATTTGGTCAGTCATAAACCTGTCATCGTCTTTACAAATAGATGCTGTCAGCAGTCAGGAAAAATTACAGTTCAGTTTACATCCACAACAAGTGTTTTAAACAATCTACATTTTTAAAACTTATGGCTTTGGACGTGTGACATACTAGACATTTTTCGAATAACTTTGTTAGACTAATATCGGATGATGGTTCTTCTTCAAATGCTAATCGCCTTTATCTCGGTTGAATTTTTGAGCACACGGCGCTAAATCAGTTCTTGGGTTGTGTATCTATCAGTAAAGCCAATTTCTGGTTTGCATATGTTTCTATTCAGGTGCCGCCGTCTGCTATAATCATCGAAGCAAACATTATCTGCTATTTTTATGCCATCCATCGCCTAAGCGAAACATCGAGACCGCTGGGCAAGACGAAAGGAAGATTTCATTAATACTCAATGAATGACATGAGAACTGGAAGGAAGACACGCTCTCAGTGTCACCGTAAGGTAAATCTGGAAACTCCGGTCTAGTAACAAGGCAAGTCTCCTGAGAACAGAGTTTGATCCTCTTTTATTTCTCGTTCAGAGACAGAGAAATTCCGAGAACTAGGAAGAATAAATGGTACGTTTGTAATCGTTGCAATGTCAGTCTTTCTCACAATTTGAAAACCGAACTATTTGGGGCCCCTTCTTTTCCTGAAATAGATGGTGGGGTGATAATTTTTATTTCTGTGCCGGAGTTTAGCGGCAAAGTCTATAGACATGTGGCAAGCGTAGCACGTAGTCACGTAGTTTCATCTTTCCTTCCTGCAGAGTGGTGCTCATTTATCACTCGCCAAAGGAAGAAAGGCGAGGGACTAGGACCAGTGTTCGAACTCGTGACTTATCGGCTCTGAGTTGGAAGTTCTACAGACTGAGTCCCCTTCGCACCTCCCGGTTTGAAACAACATGTAAATTCTTTGCTGAAGGGAATTCTTGAATAAAACAAAGATTGCTCTTGCGCAGAGTCGAATCAGACCTCTTAGGCGTTGCAATACCACGCTAGCAGAAGAATAAACTGTATTAGGCACGTTGTCGCTAACGGAGGTAATCCATCCATGCAGGCACAGAAAGAAATTAATTTCCACTTTGGTTCCTACTGAAAACAGCCTTCCACACGGCATAGGTACTGTAGTAAGTATGCACTGTTCATTCATTATGCCGACCATATTTGTATTGCGGATAAATCACTACCAACGCATCAACGAAGTACACCATCCTCAATGTAGTATATA